CAGGTCAATCTCTGCTTCTGTCTGAGTAGCAGTTGAACCGTTGGCTGTGTGGAACATGATAGGATCACAAGTTCGCTGCTTCAAGTTCATCCTTTCGGCTTTCCTTGCAGAAATCAGATCATGCCCGCTGCCAGAATCCAGGATGAATCTACGATCTTTGGCTTGCACTGGTAGTGAAATGCACATTATGTTCTTGGACTTCATGAGGGAGTTTCCAACTTCGTGTTCAACAAGCTCTTCAGTAAAAGTCAAGTCATCACGATCATTGTCCAGTTTGATCAACATGTCGAACTTGGGGCCAATAATGATTCTAACTTCATCAACAAAACGATGGAGTCCACATCTGTCCATGATGATAGCCTTGGCCCGTGCTCGGACTGAACCGAGGGTGTTGTCGGACTTGGACTGATCGTCGGTCAAATCATCGACTTTCCAGAAAACATATTGCTTGTTGGGGTCACGATACATACGTTTGGGTAGTCCCTCCTGGTAGTCCTCAATGGCGATCTCGTGCACCTCAGGTTCCATATCAAATGAGATCCTGCGATCATCAGAAGACTTCTTTGCACTGGCTATCCTCGGTGAGGTATAATCCATAGAATCTTCATTGTCGCTATCAAAGAAGGAATCAATGGTAATGGGAGTCGCCTTCTTCCTTGGTGTCTTCTTGCTGGTTCTCTCTGAGGATGCTGAGGGCGATTTATCTGCATGTAGGAATTTACATTTGTTTCCGAACTTGCAGGTACCCTCTTGCCAATTCCAACATACCTTCTTTTTGGGTCCAGCTGAAGATGAACTTCCTCTACCTTTCCCTCTTGATGAATCTCGACTTCCGCTTCTGCCTTTCTTACCTTTCATCTTGGCATCATAGACTTTCTGAGAATGACTGTAAAGACATTTGTCACCTTTGCTGCATCCTCCTTTATTGAAGAAGTAGTTACAGAAAATCTTCTTCTTGTCAACGGGTGAAGATGATCTTCCCTTCCCACCTTTGCCTTTCTTGTTGTTCTTGTCGGCATGGGATTTCGGAGAAGGTGTAGGAAGTACCGATGCAGCTTCACTCTTCGCTTTCGCCTTAGGACGTTTGGGAGGATCACCTGTAGACGATGCGGCCGCTTCATTCTCCTTCTTGGTCTTGACGGGAGCGGCAGGCTTGTCTGCATCTTCTAAGGCAGGTGTCGTCTTGTTAGAGGACAATGACAGTTTCACTGCACGTTCTCTATCTTTCAACAGTCGTTCTTGCTTCCCTCGTGCTATGTATCCCTTGATCATACCAGTTAGGTAAGCATAGGTCTTCTCAGGATGCCCTTCATCAAAGGTTTTGTATCGGTTGATATCGAAGGCCATAAGCTTTGAATGTTCAATCTTCCGGAACAACGTGTCACGCAGGGAATTATTGGAAGGCAGATCATCATGTTTCATATTGTATACGATGTCAAGCCACTTGTTGTAGAAGGCCTCAAGTTGGTCATCTCCATAGTAGTTGAACATATACAAATGATGGGCATTGTAGAGAACTTCAGTGTGGTCAGGTGACTTGAAGCTAATCAATATCATTGCAAATAGTTCTCGTCCCTTGATGAAGTCCCCACTTCTCCCATACAATTGGTTCTTCATGGACATGTCATACTTCACTTGCACGGACTTGTCCCCAGCATTGTCAATGACTTTCCTCAAGGCATTGGAGAGCTTGGCATCAATGGATTGGAATCTTACATCAGGAGCTTTGGCCAGCGTCTCCAAGTCAGGTTGATCTGCAAGACACGGAGCAAGCCACGCTTTCCAATCTTCATAGTTTCGATCTCCACTTGCAACGCAAACTTCATGAACGACACTTCCCTTCCAGGATGAAAGTTCAGTGGTCTTAGGCCAGGGTTGGAGGCTGATCTTTTCGGCTTCTCTTAGAGATACAGATGACTTGGATCTATCCCTTTCAAGGTTCTCCAACTCCTTGACATTTGTGTTGTACTCGTTCCTGAGCTTCTCGAAGGCTTCAGCTTCTGCTCGGTATTCCTGCTCTTCATCATTGGCACGATCTTCAGCTTGAGAGAAATTGTTCTTATAGTAATCTTTACGATCTTCCATCTTCTTCAACTCATCTTGAAGATTTCGAACTTCAGCGTTCCTCTCTTGCTTCATCTCGTCCAACTCTGCTTTCAGTTTGGCACACTTCTCTTCACATTCATTCCGAGGCATGGCATTACTGGGGTACCCATGTAATGTAGTCGGTCTGTTCATTGATGAAGAAGAATGAGCTTGGTTTTCCAACTTCAGGGCAGCAATGGTGCTCGACATTTCTTCTACCTCAGCGTAACGCTCATTGGCCAATTGATGCATTTCGGTCAGATGGCTTTCAGGAATGGAATAGTCAGTCGCACCTTTGATCACGAGTCTTCTGTCGTTCAACATTTTGATGGACTTACCTGCATCCCTGTGAGCACGCTCAAGAGAGTCCTTTTGGGCTTCAAGTTCAGTATGAAGGCGAGCAATAGCTGTGTCCCTGTCATTGATTTCATTGTGCAAACTGTCGAACAAGTTACTCGTCACATTCGGATTGTTGCTCATGTGATCGATCTTGTTCAGAGCATCTTGATATTTCTTACCAGTTTCATCAAAGTTTCGCTGGAAGACTTTGAGCAGGTCCTCAGTGTCAATGAGTTCAGATCTGTTCTGCAAGTACAACTTGTCAACTTCGGCCTTGGATTCTTTCAAGCTGTCACGTTCACGCACGGCTTGCATGTACATCTCGTATAGAGGTCCTCCATGCGGTGATCTGCTCGGTGAAGATCTTCTGGCTTGTTGACAGGAAAGTTCATGATACTGATTCTTCGATTCAGTCAGTTGCTGTTGCATTCGATCTAAAAGACTTTGTTTCATGTGTAGTTCAGAACGTAGTCCCATTATCCTCATGTCCCGCATGCCACCTGATTCAGCTAGAGATTCTTCAGAAACCCTGTTCTCAGAAATCGCTAGTCGAGATTGTAAGTTCTCACTGTGGATCACCTGTAATCGAAGCTGTGATTCTTCCAAAGCTAAGTGATGTTCACATTCTGCATAACGGTCATGTTCAGATCTTATGTTACTACGGAACTCCTTCATGATCTCGTCCCTCTTCATGTCAGCAGCATCTAACTCAGTTTCCAGTCGCCTGACATTCATGGCCATGGTGTGCTTCATCGTCTGGTTCTGATTGGCAACCTCGAGCATCTCGATCTGCAAAGCACATGTTTGGTCATTAGCATAGCCGACTGCTAGAGCTTCTTGCTTGGCATTCATCTCTGCGTTCTCCAGTTCCAGTCTGAGTTGATTAATGTGAGCATTCGCATCAGTTCCCACATGTACCATAATTGCGTTTGCTTGTCCCATTTGTTCATCGAATTCCGAACGTAGTCGTGAATATTTGAATTCCAAATGAGATGCAGCTTCATTCGACATAGTCTGATACCTTTCCAACTCTTCGATCCTGTAGGTCGCACCTTCATCTTCTTGCTGTGCAGCCTGTAACTCGAAGTTCAGCATCTGGAGTTGTTCGGTCATCGACATCATCTCTTGATGAGTGGTGCTTTCCAAGAAATTAAATTGTTGATAGGCATATGCTGTCGTCTCACTCAATCTTGCCTGAAGTACAGATTCTTCTTCAGTGGCCCTTTCCAGTGATGTTTTGTACTCAGCTAATTCACTCTGATAGGCAGTGAAGATGTCGCTACCACTTGACGGGGCATTCACTTGCTGATAAGATCCTGTCCCTGATGGAGTAGCGTCCTGAATCGGTGAAGGCGGATTCGACGACGTAGTCTTTGCCTTAGTCCTTGGAGTCATCGGAGGCGACAATTGTCGTGCAGATGATCTCCTCTTTCCAGGTGTGCTGTCCCTATCTTCAATTGCTTGCATTGTCGAAATTTGTCTCCCTCTAGGAGCAACCAGATGTCGCCTGGGTTGGCTTGTTCTCAGTTCTGAGGCATCGCTTCCACCAGTGTCGATACTCTGTGAAGAATTTGACTGCGTGCCGGCAGCTGGTGCAACGGCATGTCCAGAGAAAGAAAATGCATTATCGCTGCTATCCTGTTCAGTCATCTGTAAGGCCCGCGGCTCCCCGCTCGTAGGCTCCGTAGGAGTCCTACGGCTGATAACCTGCGAATCGGGGATTGCCTGTCCGATTATATTCCAGTAATTGATGTTGATGTTTGTTGTTCCAGTAATGACTTCACAACGACGACAGCTTCCGCATGGCGTTCCTTTTCCCTGTTGCTGCAGTGGGTCTTGAGCCAAAAGGGCGATTGTCACAACCCTTTGGCTTCGAGTCTTAGAGTGAATTATGTGATAATGTACATTGGTCCGTAGCTTACACTCTATTCGCATATATGTACATATATATATATATGTACATATATGTATATGTACATATATATATGTACATATATATATGTACATATATATATGTACATATATATATATATATATGTACATATATATGTATATATATATATGTATATAAATATGTATATATATATATGTATATATATATGTATATATATATTTATATACATATAATGGGCAAGTGAATGGGAACATCTATACATGGAGAAATGTCATGAAATGTCCATTGCCATGATTGCCATTGCGGGCAAACCTGGCAATTCAGCAGAATGATGGGTGGTTAACGTGGCTTAACCATCCTGACATCGAGATAACATCAACCATTCAGGGTGGAATATCCTAGCTTCCTATAGGCTGAGAACATAAAATCCAAGTCAGACGCCCAGTTTTTGTATTAAAACAACCATGCGTTGAGTAGGGTAACCCCCATTCTGGGAAATACCACAATTGAGATTTAGCTAATTCAACAAGACAGAATTGATATGATTGGATACTAGCTATAGGCTACACTCCGTACCGCTCCAAACAATTCCAAACACTATCTGCGATGTGTTTGGCTTTGTGTTTTTAAACACCTTCTCAGAGGCTATTTGGAGCTCCAAAAGTCAAGGACATTTATCGATTTAGCCTCCCACCATTCGTAGATCATTTTTCGAAGGATACTGCGGACAGCTGATTTGGGGTCCTCCCATGGGCGGTACCCATGGCAAGGCACCAATGACCGTCTCGCGCTGCTCCTGCTTCTCGGGAGGGCCCACGAACTGGTCAGCCACTTTCCTGGCAACAGATCATGAGGGACTTGGGAAAACAACACCATAAGCTGCACCATGAAATCTCCACTTTTTGTTGGTCAAATCCAAAAAAATATTGATGCTTCTGCCACGTGATCCCCAAGATGATGGTTCAATTCCATATCCCCACCATTCACTCATTCCCGACATTATCCCATTATAATATCCCATCATATATCATCATATATCCCCATGATTGAATCGGCTACACCCTCTATCTTCCCATCTACCCTCTGGTAATTTAACATAGCTATTGAAAATCACCATTTTTCATGGGAAAATCCACTATTTCTATGGTCATTTTCAATCGCTACGTTAGTTTACCAGAGGGTAAACGCTCGGTTCTATCCCAGTCATTCTTCGCAGTCGCCGAGCATCGGCCAAGCCAAAGTCCGCGGCGTTCGCGGCGTGTGGTGCTGACTGGTGGACCTGACAGTGGACACGGCGCCACGCGGGATCCGCGCGTGTCGCGTCGTGGTAAGTGCTAAAGACAGCATTGAAAGATGAAAGAACTTCACCATCAAACATGGCATCGATGATTTAATGACATTTAATATAGAAAATTGGGCTTCTTAAATGGATTCAACATGATATCTATCAAAAATATTTTTTTAGGCCATCTTCATGGTAGATATGAATCGAAGTCGTTCTCCAGCAATATCCTCATTATTCATCATGGCCAATCTTAGATAGCAACCAAAATACAGTTTGTTGCCTGCTTAGCATGGTGATGTTGCAAGGTGGTGCCCAGTGATGTTTCTTGGTTTACAATAGACGTCGATATATCTGCCACCCAACAGTGAACCTAGTTACAAAAGCAACTTAGATAAGAAAGTGGGTCAGCTTGACGCAAAATGTTCAAAAGTCACCTTTTCATTCACTAAAAATAGCTATGTTTGCTCCCTAAATCCCATGAAATCAATTGAAATCACCATTTTTCTGGGTTGGTTTTATAATGAAAATCCCATGAAACCTCCATTTCACCGATCTTGTAAATCCTTTTGTCGCCACCTTGTAATACTAACCCCTCCCAGTAACTTCTCGCAGAGCCTGGAGGTTCTCCGATCTGCAGAACTTCTCCTGTGACGCTGGTCTGGTGGGTTGGGGCGTGTTTTGTAACCATCAAGACCCTTCAAAATAGAGATTTCATGCGATATGTATTCTGGTTGGTGGTTGACCTACCGTACCTACCCCTCTGAAAAATATGAGTTCGTCAGTTGGGATTATGAAATTCCCAATAAATGGAAAATCATAAAATTCATGTTCCAAACCAGCAACCAGTATTTTATCAACCAGACATATGGTATTATAATGTATTATACAGTTATATATGTTACCCTCTGGTAATTTAACATAGCTATTGAAAATGGGCATTTATAGTGGATTTTCCCATTAAAAATGGTGATTTTCCATAGTTATGTTAGTTTACCAGAGGGTAACCATTGGTTGATCTCAAAATCGAAAAATCCCTTCAGGGGATGCCCCTTTTTCACCCATCATTGCATACAATGCAAAAAAAACAGACAATCGACATCAATCGACCTGGTTTTATTGGACAAGTGATATCTATGTCTCAAACATATTCAAATATCTCCGGGCTTGAGCTGATTCGGGCTTTGGAGCCCCAAGACCCCAAGATTTAACACAGGGATTCCCCACGAAAAGCCAATGCACTGGGGGTTGGTGCAGTCACCGTGTTTGCTCAGAAACTCAAGCGATGTTTGTTGGTGACTTCACCGTTTGAACAAACAACGCACAAAGACCTCCTGAAGTACAAAAAATACAAAAACACTGATTGAATCCAGACTGACACCGTATATTTGATCATGAGTGCCCTTTCGTTTAGTCTTGTGTTCCCATGATTTTCGTCACACAAAACACCATGAAGAAATCACCAAAAAACGCCACAAAAAAGTCCTGGAACCAATTTTGGATCCCATGCGACTGGACAACTTGGAGCCCAGTTTGGAACTGATCCTGCGGGGCATCGGAATTGCTAGGTATCTTTGGGGGATAAATTGGATAAATCGATAAATCTAGAGGAAAAATGACCTATACTCACCCCCCAAAAGTGACTATCATTTACCTATTGAATTGGAGCCGCAACATGCCGCAACCATGTTCTTATTAGCAGTATTAGCAAATCATATAAGCTCCAATTATCTATAAATGATATTTTTTACAAGTGACCTTTTGCCATTATGATATTGCAATTACTAATTGAATGATGAGTAGCAGATATATTGTTGTACTCTATAATCCAATGATAATATATCAAACAATCCTAGTCATGATATGTTATATGGTCATTGAAAGAGCAACTATTTGGTTGTAGAGCCAACATATTCTTATTGTCCAATTGTACAGAAACATATGGGATGCGGTATACAATACTTTATATTTGGTATCTCCAAAAGGTATCATCCCAAATCTAGGCACTGTCCAAGTTATGGATCTTCTATGTGGTATGTATATTTCATCCATCCCAGTTCGTGGGAATCCAAAGATGATGGGCAAATAAATCCTACACATACTGTGTATATATATATATAGTATATACGTATATACACATAATATGTACATATACACAAATGTACCCATATATAATAATATAATACATATTTCCACTGATATTAAACACCCCAAATCAGGGACGCAAACTGAATGGATCCAATAAGAAACCAAGGTTTTCAATGGAGGTCCACAAAATATCCGGCTTTATCACTTGGGTTGGCCAAAAGATGTGGATATGCCAAAGAAATTCAAAGAAAAACAATGCTTGAAACCAAAACATAGTTTTCCCATCACTAGTTCTAATATAATTCACTTTAAATATAGATACTTGATACTTGATACTAGAGTACATGATTTTGGTTTGTTTACTGGTTCATCATCATTTACCCTATTCAAATTACATTGTTCCGGTGCCATACTAAGCATTTTCAGCCACACCCAAGTCTTCATTATTCATCCCCATAGCCCCATAACCATTTCCATGGTATGATCCCCATGTTGGATAATAGAAATTGGATATACTTGGATATAATGGTTAATACTATCATTGGTATAATCATACATCTCCAACATACTATCATTGGTATAATCCCGATGTTGGATCATTGGATCATGTTGGTTGGTTGAGTCCCTATTCTTGATTGTGAAACCCACCAACTTCAATGTTTTTTCGAATAAATTATGGTAGTTCACGGTAACCTGAAAATTTCTCAAATAAGCTCAGTAATGGGAACGCTTCCCCGAAGCCTAACATCATACCCCCATGAAATATCCCCATTCCCATATTTGCTAGTTATAAATCCCATTAATGTTATAAACCCATCTAAGATTCCCATGATATCCCAATTAAAACAGATTAAATTCATTTAAACAAATTAAAACATAATTACCATTACCCATGGGATCCATGTATGGTATATATACTAACATTGGGGGTATATTGATGGTAAATGTTACCATATATAGCATACATGGATCCTATGGGTTATGTCACCATTAGATGGTTTTATTATCCCCGTAAAACCCTCATTGATATCCCATGAATATTCCATGAATATTGACCATTGTATGGCTTAAAACTCTCACCATTTGTATCCCCATTGACCATGCCATGATATGAATGGCACCAAACCACCCCAGCTGAGCACCAGCCTGGCACTGGAATGTTTGGAGGACGCCGACCTCAGAAAAATCTACGGATTCGACCATAGAATCTTTCGAGATTTAATTCTGATGCCATCAGCAGAAATTGTGATTTTAATTTCACCACCAAAAATTATTCGGATTTCATCAACAAATCATTCTGATTTCACCTGCAATCATTGGGACTAAGGACATGACGACTAACAGTAGCTGCAGATCTAAGCATCAAACATGGGGATTTAACCCAACCATCATGGGAATTTGCCGTATACCGTATATGGAATATAAATCACAGATGCTATTAAAGGATGTGTCCAAACATAGGGTTTTTGTATACTGCCCTTTGGTTGTGTCCACATATATAGTGGTATACCGATGTATACCCCAAGGTAGAGCCACTAGCTTTCTATAGAATGCTGCGGTTCCGCAATGTACCCATTGTTTGATAACACATGGCCAAAACTACCATTGGAAATGAGAACATTATGTTGGTAATAATTTAGCGGTATTGTACATTCTCTAGACATAGAGGCCCTGGTGAGGGCGGTGAGCAGAACTATTTTATTATTATTATTATTATTATTATTATTATTATTATTATATATATATACACAAACAAATATATATATATATATACAAACAAATATATATATAATATATATATATATATAAATGATTACCCGCCAGTAATCAAATATGACAATGGGACATCCCCTATCAATGGCAATCTTCTCATGGGAGAATGATCCAAAAAAAAATTGGGGATTTTTTTTCTTTGCAAAAAAGCTGCGAGGATTCGCAGAGGAGGACGTCTTGCGCCTCATCGAGCATCTTCAGAGCTTCCAAGGTATCCTTTGGATCTGGAAATCTCGCGGAAATCGACTCAGAACTCTGACATCTTAAAAAATAAACAAGATCTGGAATGGCCCGGAATGGCCACAAATCACATAGGAATGGATAATATGGATATGATGGGAATATATGGGAATATGATATATACATGTATGTGTATATATATATATAGCAATAATTTGATATTGGGGTTTGTGCAGAAATATAGGCATTCATGCCTCACGGCCATCAAGCAATTGTGGAAATGAGAGCTCGGAGCGTGGAGCATAAGTAAGACCTTTGGTAAAGAAGGGATTTGACCAGAAATAACTTGTTGCCAACAATCAGTTTGTGATCATCATGAACCATTGTGGGATGTCATCTGAAAATCTTGGGGTCATACTTGGCGAAATCATTTTGACGAAGGGCCCAGCAGACTTTTCTACACATTGCACTTCCAGAGTTGCAAATTAAAAGAACAAAAACACTTCCAGGGTTGCTGGCTTCAGCACTAGAAACAAACATAGTAGGATGCCCAAACATTTGATGGCTGAGAAAATCAGTTTCCCATTCAAACATAGCCAAACAGTAATTTTGGGGTTCCACCGTTCCACCCCCCATTTTTGGAGATTTAGACGCACCCAAATCAATCAGTGGCTCAATCCCTTCTACAGATATATCCCCATTGTGGTTATTTTCATATCCTGCTTTTGATGCTCAAATCCCAGCTCTTGGACAAAGCTACCTCGTTGGTGGTTTACCTACCCCTCTGAATAATATTAGTCAGTTGGGAATATTATTGCCAATAGATGGAAAAATAAAAAATGTTCCAAACCGCCAATCAGTTCATTTAGAGCCACGCATCAGTCACTGTACTGCCAAGAAGCGATTCCTTCAGCCTCCAATTCCTAGCGCTGGCAGTGCTGGCAGTGCTGGCAGTGCTGGCAGTGCTGGCAGTGCTGGCAGTGCTAGGGTCATCCCGGGTACCTAAGATATCTTAGGACCAGATACCTATCATAGGACCGCTGCAACGTGCTGGCAGGATCTGAGTCAAGCATAGTCAAGCATCAACATCCGAAGGATATGGGTTCAAGATGGTTGGAGGATATGGGTTAAAGTTTGCTCTGCAACTTTCAAATGACGTTATTCCTCCTAGCAACGCACTGGAGCATTTCCATCTCCTTTGTCGATTACGCAGAGTTATATTCAACCATATTGTTTGTATGTGATAGACGGAATGTGGACCTGGCTGCAGTCTGGCATCCCCATTTTGCTTGTAGGTCTCCCTACTTCTGGTGATTATACCACCACTTTTATGCGGTGGAATCTAATGTTGACATTTGATTGTGGGTTGCATCCTCCAATTGGTGGTGCAACAATGTCTGCATTTGTCCCCCCAACTCTGCAAGATTGATCTGTTTATTCAGTTTATTCCCTGTGTCTGTCGATCAAAGACACAGTTTGCTGGTCAAACCTCCGTTTCTGCGTAGTAAACTTAAAAAACTTACCCTCTGGTAATTTAACGTAGCTATTGAAAATGGCAATTTATAGTGGATTTACCCACTAAACATGGTGATTTTCCATAGTTTTTTGTATGTTTACCAGAGGGTAAACCAAATCTCTGTTGGTTACCCAGGGTGCATTCTATGTTCAGCCATTCCACCTCCAATTCTCTTGCTGAGACTCCATTTAGACTTATGGGGTACCTGCTGGTAACCTGGCAATGAACAACGCCATGTCATTCATTTAACGGGACTTTCCTTTCCCATTCAACACTTCCGGGATATGGATTTGTCTCAAAATGTGGTACTCCAAAAATCCAATGGTCAAGTGGTCCAATGATCATATGTCATATCTATTTTTGTCATAGATACAAGGATATACAAGGTATCAACATTGTATCAACCATGTCCTCACATACACATATCATCTGGGTAAATTATAATATTTCACTAACCTGAATTAAGGCCATTTGGGGATGATTTCCCTTACTAACCATGATTCCAGGGCTCGGTCGCAGTGAGGTCGTTATAATTTACCCAGATATCATGTTGCCACGTAAAAATCTCATTACATCATTCAATTCATGGGATCAATCCCCCCCGTTTCCCCGCGACTGTCTAAACTCTGTACCTTTCTGTCCCGCTCGCAGCCTTGAGGTGTTGGTTCAGTTCGCGTTGAATACCTCGGTGTTTTTGATCAGCAAACATGAACACAGCTGTGTACTGGTTGATTTATAGGGATTCTCAGTCCATATTCAATATGTAAAGGTATGACCCGCTCACATGTTGATATCGCAAATCACTAATACCAGCATCTTAAAACAGCTGTCTTGCGCCTCAAAATCTGAGGGGTGCAGATATGGGAATCCGCTCCAAGTTGTAATCCAGTCAGCTTAACATCTCCATCTCAGACTTTGCAGATATCGACAAAGGCCAGATCTTACTGGTGCTGTAAAAAAATCCCCCCACCTTGGAGGAAAACATATCATCGTCACCACCAATCTTTTTTGTTTCTCAAACCAAGAACTGTGTCAAATACAGTAGGTGCTTGGGATAATGATAAAAGTAGTTCCTGTTGAAAGTAGTGATTTGCCATAGTTGTTTGCATGTTTACCAGGCCGGGTAGATTCGGTTCATTCTCACCATCTTCCATCGTTCATCGTCTTCAATCAAGACCCCTGAAGAGTCAACCCCATGTTGGTGGGCCCTCCATATTCAATGCCAGATTTTGATAGATTGATTTGACTATCTGGTTATTTAACATAGCGATGGAAAATCACCATTTTTAATAGATAAACCATCTATAAATGGGCCATTTCCCATGGCTATGTTAGTCATAACCACAGGGTATAGTGGGGAAATTCCCGAACCTTTCCTCAATTTCTCACACATCAACCATGATCCCCTTACCTGGATCTTCCATATACTATTTCTTGGGCAAAAGGCAGAAATTAAGCACCGTTTTGAAGAGGCAGGTATATCCCCATTTTTTGAAGTTATATGTAATTCTCCCCATTTCACTTGGTAAAACCTAAGACTTCTCCCGAGCACCTAATCCATCCAAATCCATCATTCTGTTGCTACTTGTTTATTGACAAACCAACTTTTTTTCTGCTGCGTCATTTTTGGGGGGGTGGTCAATTCATAGAAATTGGGTTGCTACATATTTCAGTGTTGAAATATATGTGCTCTTTTTGAATCTGTTTGATGGTTACAGCTGCGATAACCCATCAATTTTTGATGATTCATTCCCCAAAATTCAATGCCCCCATAATCATGTCAAGTCCCAATGATTGCAGTTTTAAACCCAATTGTTTCTTGATGAAATCCTCATGTTCATTTCTAAAACTTGACCCTTTGGTCGTAAAATCATGTAAAATCTGCCAATGAATCCCACATTTAAATTGCTTAAATCATGCTAAAATTGCAAAAAAAAAAACATACCCTCTGGTTATGACTAACAGTTTGCCATGGAAAGATCCACCATTTTTCAGTTCGATAAACCATTGATCTATTTCTATGGGCCATGGCTTAACCATGGCTATGTCAATTCCATCATCATCCCAGAAAATCCCTATGAAAATCCCCCAGTTTTGTCGCTGGTGCGTTGGTTCTCCGTCTCCTCGAGAATGCGCCGAAGAGTGGCACAGCCATCCAGGCGCACCACACTGATCCAGCCACCCGCCAGGTGGGCGTTCTCCTGGATCTAATGGGTTTCCATGGGTTTCCTGATGTCATGGGGAAAATGTGATGATGAAATTTCGGACTCCATATTTTGAGGGGAATTCATGTGGAAGAGATTTGAAGACTCCATATTTTGAGGGGAATTCATGTGGAAGAGATTTGAAGACTCCATATTTTGAGGGGAATTCATGTGGAAGAGATTTGAAGACTCCATATAACTTGGGGAATTCATGTGGAAGAGATTTGAAGACTCCATATTTATTTTGAGGGGAATTCATGTGGAAGAGATTTGAAGACTCCATATTTTGAGGGGAATTCATGTGGAAGAGATTTGAAGACTCCATATAACTTGGGGAATTCATGTGGAAGAGATTTGAAGACTCCATATAACTTGGGGAATTCATGTGGAAGAGATTTGAAGACTCCATATAACTTGGGGAATTCATGTGGAAGAGATTTGAAGACTCCATATTTTGAGGGGAATTCATGTGGAAGAGATTTGAAGACTCCATATTTTGAGGGGAATTCATGTGGAAGAGATTTGAAGACTCCATATTTTGAGGGGAATTCATGTGGAAGAGATTTGAAGACTCCATATTTTGAGGGGAATTCATGTGGAAGAGATTTGAAGACTCCATATAACTTGGGGAATTCATGTGGAAGAGATTTGAAGACTCCATATTTTGAGGGGAATTCATGTGGAAGAGATTTGAAGACTCCATATTTTGAGGGGAATTCATGTGGAAGAGATTTGAAGACTCCATATTTTGAGGGGAATTCATGTGGAAGAGATTTGAAGACTCCATATTTTGAGGGGAATTCATGTGGAAGAGATTTGAAGACTCCATATTTTGAGGGGCATATGAAGAGATTTGAAGACTCCATATTCATGTGAAGAGATTTGAAGAGAGGGGAATTCATGTGGAAGAGATTGAAGACTCCATATTTTGAGGGGAATTCATGTGGAAGAGATTGAAGACTCCATATTTGAGGGGAATTCATGTGGAAGAGAAGAGAAGACTCCATATCATGTGGAAGAGATTTGAAGACTCCATATTTTGAGGGGAATTCATGTGGAAGAGATTTGAAGACTCCATGTTCATGTGGAGAGATTTGAAGACTCCATATTTTGAGGGGAATTCATGTGGAAGAGATTTGAAGACTCCATATTTTGAGGGGAATTCATGTGGAAGAGATTTGAAGACTCCATATTTTGAGGGGAATTCATGTGGAAGAGATTTGAAGACTCCATATTTTGGGGAATTCATGTGGAAGAGATTTGAAGACTCCATATTTTGAGGGGAATTCATGTGGAAGAGATTTGAAGACTCCATATTTTGAGGGGAATTCATGTGGAAGAGATTTGAAGACTCCATATTTTGAGGGGAATTCATGTGGAAGAGATTTGAAGACTCCATATTTTGAGGGGAATTCATGTGGAAGAGATTTGAAGACTCCATATTTTGAGGGGAATTCATGTGGAAGAGATTTGAAGACTCCATATAACTTGGGGAATTCATGTGGAAGATATTTGAAGACTCCATATTTTGAGGGGAATTCATGTGGAAGAGATTTGAAGACTCCATATAACTTGGGGAATTCATGTGGAAGAAATTTGAAGACTCCATATTTTGAGGGGAATTCATGTGGAAGAGATTTGAAGACTCCATATAACTTGGGGAATTCATGTGGAAGAAATTTGAAGACTCCATATAACTTGGGGAATTCATGTGGAAAAGATTTGAAGACTCCATATTTTGGAGAATTCATGTTGAAGAGATTTGAAGACTCCATATTTTGGAGAATTCATGTTGAAGAGATTTGAAGATTCCATATTTTGGGGAATTCATGTGGAAGAGATTTGAAGACTCCATATTTTGAAGAATTCATGTTGAAGAGATTTGAAGACTCCATATTTTGGAGAATTCATGTTGAAGAGATTTGAAGATTCCATATTTTGGGGAATTCATGTTGAAGAGATTTGAAGTTTGAAGATTCCATATTTTGGGGAAAGGATGGGAAAGGGTGGTACTATGCTTCGACAAATTGGGATTTGAGCCAGCAAAACGTAGCAGCAAGAAAAATGTATTTACCTTTAGACATGGATTTGACCAGCAAAAAATGCGTACTTAACCACCAATCATGGCGGGGAAAGTGGGGCTACTAAGTAGGGATGTCGAGGAGGAAAATGTGGGTCGGGCCATCTCAAAACTGAGATCTTCAGGTTTCACCAAGAAACATAAGGCTACAACCAAGAGAAGCAGCAAATTACCTCCAGTAGGTTGACATATAAATATGGAAACAACACCATGAAATGTAGATAATTTTCCGGATGGGACTGCAGATGGATTTCCATAGTTTTGTTAATCTACCAGATGGCAACTCCTGACTTTAAATTATATGGTGAATTCCTCCCATTTTTCACATTTTCATGGTTAACTCTCTATGTGTATGGGTCAAATCCATTTTTTTATGGTTAACTCATGTCAGCTCCCTACTTTGTATGTTAAATCCCATCTTTTATGGCTTAAATTAATGGTTAACTCACACATTTTTTTTCTTGGTTGACGCCCCTTTTCCAGGGCTTGGCAAATGTCCCTTTTTCATCCTTTTTCATCCTGTTTGTGAAAATAGTGAAACACGTCACTTCAATGAAGAGTGCCGTATCTGTTGGATATTCCATCGTTGGGTGATGTTGAATATGGACATTTACCCAGCCCTGGTTTCGGCTAAAATCCTCACCACAGCAGCACAGCGACCTCTTCGAGATATCCCAGCAGGGCGCGAGTGCCTTCGATGAGATGCAATCGCACTTGGGCATCTGGTTGCCTTAGCCGGGTCTCGGTACTGGTAACTATGGCATGGCGCTTAAAGCAACAATTTCATGGCGATTTCACGGCGATTTCGTGCTGAAAAAAGGCGGTTTTCTGGGGAGTTACTGGAGAGTTCAATGGGAACTATGGCACTATGTGGGAACATGTGGGAACTATACTATTTACTGGGGATTTACTGAACTGAATCAATGGGATTTCTATTGGTGGAATGGGAACTTGTGGTGTCCATTGCCATCGTGTGGGGCCCTGGGGGTTCAAAGATGTCCTCCATTTCTTGCTTTCCATGAATTACGAAGTTTAGCAAGGCATCAGTTCTTAATTACATAGGGCATAGGGCGACATGTCCTTCGTGTTTTTTTTGCATCTTGCGTTCAACGGGATGTCTTTCAAGCACGTTTTAGGGCTCAGAGGGTGTTCCTATCATCCGAAGAGCCGAGCCAGTTGGGACGAAGTGGGGGTTCCCCATCCGCCGGGGATGACCAACCCAAAACTCATTAGGTTTACCATGGTTTAGCTCAAAAACATGTTCTGGTTGGTGGTTTCAACCTTCCCCTCTGAAAAATGATGGAGGAATCGTCAGTTGGGATCATGACATTCCCAATAGTCATGGAAAGTCATCAAATTCCATGGGTCCAAACCACCAACCAGATGTTGGTGCACAGTTAACTCTACTCAAGTTCAACGTTTCAACGACGTTGACGCCCAGGAACAACCATCCAATGACGGCGGATCGGGGATCTCGTGTCATGGTGACGCACAAGGCACTGCTGTTGGGGCCCACCCGGTTGGGCGGAGCTGGCAGCACAATCCTTGGTAACTCGTTACAGGGTAGCCAGAGTCGTCATCCCATGAAACCAGGGGGAATCCCAACGAATCATGGGTGATGGGTGCATAAATCTCGATCTGGTTGGTGGTTGAAAAGCCATCTTGAAAAATGATGGAGTTCGTCAATGGGAAGGATTATATAATTATCCCATATATGAAATGGAAAATAAAAACATGTTTGAAACCACCAACCAGCTATTATTCCCTATGAAAATGGATTGATGACCATCCCCAATGACCATCCGCAATTATGGGTATATCATCCAACTTTTGACCACGGCATGGAGATGTTTCTTGAAAGATCTAAGGAATGTTTACCCGTAACCCTGCATATGATCAAATAGTTTGCAATAATGATATATATATATATATTATAATATCAAACATAACAACAATCTGGGTGACGCAGCGGAAGGGTGATGTGTTCCGATATGCTTTAAGTGAGATGTCTGAAATCAAACATGGGATATAATTCTACACCCAACAATCAGTGCTTTTGCGTGGGTTGCAGCGCGGTATTCCTGTCTTCACGGAATGGGAATGTATGGGAATGTGAACAACTCACCTGGTGCCTTTCGCAAAAATCGCGTCACAAAGGGTTGATTTCTACAATAACCTGGCACTCCACCAACCATCACCAACCAACTTCAATGCATAGTGGAGATAGCTGGGATGGGAATTCCAAGCGTTCACCTCTGCAATCTCTGATCCCTCTGGGTTGATGATCTGATCTTACAACCTGTGGCTCATCCTTACCAAGACTTACGACAAGTCGTCGACTATCCCTGGTTATAAGTGGGACAACTAGGGTAACTAGGGTTAATCCACTTATAACTAGGGTCATAACGTACTTACTAAGAGGGATGAGCCACCAAGTAATGTATATATAAGACTTCATATCTTAAATAAGCAGCATGATATTCCAAAACATCCCGAACTTTCTCCCGGTCGGTGGTTTCAACCGCGCTGAAAAATATGCTGAAACCATGGTTGAACATTTAAAGAAAGGGCTTCTAATAGTTGGTTCAGTCGGTTCATAGTGTTCATAAAATCCTTGCAATATCATTTCCTGGTACATTAGCTAATATGTGTTGGACAGTTTTGGGATATTATAGGTCTGAAAAGTGTAGTTCCAGTAAATCAGTACTTAGTGGAAGTTATATCAATTGTTATCCATTGTCCGTTTATATCTCATCCAAGTGGGGGTTGTAACGCTTCTATCCATCTCTCAGAGCCAACAATCCTTTAGATTCTCACTATATTTCATCATATCCCATTATAGATTCTCAATGATTCTCACGTCATATCCCTGGTAAATCGCCATCACATTGTTGCGTCAAAATCCGAAAACCCAAGCTGGTTGGTGGTTTCAATCCCTCTGAAAAATATTCGTCAGTTGGGATTATTCTCCCCAATATATGGAAAGTCATAAAATTCCATGGTTCCAAACCACCAAGCAGAAGGATTATCCCATATATTATGGAAAATAAAATTCCATGGTTCCAGTCACCACCAACCAGTAATCTATGACGTCAAACCAATTACATATGCCATGATGATACTACGATTATCTATAAGTTATGATGATGATAAACTAATAGCTATGATTTCTGAAATGGATGATTTATATAGGGGTACCCCCATTCTAGGAAACCTCCATTATGATCAATAAACCATGCTTTTAAAAATCGCTATCCATCCCAGTCTCCGATCATCCCAAGATCTGCCGCCTCCGATCTGCCAAGGTTCCATGTGGGGGCCACCACCGCCTCCATTCCCGCGAAGTCCTCGTTGCGCATGCGCGCGGGCAAATGTTGCAGGTAGCGGCTGCCATCCTGCGGCATTGGAAAACTCATGGGAACATGAAATAATATGTGATGTACACCAATGTACACCTCTGATTTTTTTAAAGAAAAGACGTGGTGTCAACATAGAAAATGATAGAAAATGTGGAACATAGAAAAGTATTCAGATTGAACATTGACATATATTGAAATCATATTAGAAGATAGGGCAAACAAATAGTGGATTTAACGTGATTGGATCATGAAAAAGGTGGGATTTTTCCACGAAACAGCCTGCGGATTTTTCGTCAAAGGTTGGAGATGTTGGAACCTTTTGGGATTTTACAATGAGAATATGGGAAACTATGGAGACTGAACCTTGGATGTCTGAAATTGTGGGTAGTTCATCATGAAATATCATGAACAGGCCTGGCGACACTAGTCATGATGTATCATAATTTAGTCATGATCCATCATATATCATATGTCATGTATCATATCATGTTTCATATGTCATGTATTTTTGTGGCTTGAAACCATTGTGGGCCATTTTTTGTGGCTTGATATCAGAAAATATGAGAACTCCATGGTTTCAAGCCACAAGTGGCCTACAATGGCGAGTTTTGGTGCTTTCAATTGAGATGTTGATTCGTTGATCGAGATTTTTTCCAAAGTTTCATGAGCCAATGGAATCTCCTCAGTTTCACCTGTTCGAAATGTCCCTGGCAACCACTTCTGAGTCTAACCACTGCTTCCATCTGGAGAATGTTATAAATATGTACATATAATATGTGTGTATATATATATATGGGGGTTGTCCAAAATACCTTTTCCCGGACAGCCCTCAATCGCTCAGCCAATCGCGTAGCAACCGCGGTACCACAGTGAGCAATCGCGGAAGGGTTTGTTCTTCGTTGATCAGATCATATACATAAAATATAAGATATGTATTATATAATGAGGATCCATGCGTGAACGCATTCGATTTCAAATTTGGGAACAAAATAGGCTCGCGCGGTCCGGAAACGGTCCGGAAAACTCACAGTAGTACCAGCAGCAGTAGTACTAGTAGTACTAGTAGTACTAGTAGTACTAGTAGTACTAGTAGTACTAGTCGTAGTAGTCGTAGTAGTAGTAGTAGTAGTAGGAGGGGTAAGAGTAGGAGTAGGAGTAGGAATAGGAGAAGGAGTTCTAGTAGCAGGGCAAGGGAAGAAA